TAATATAAAATGAATGATGATAAATAAAGATTGAATAAAAAAAAATGATTAAAATTTAATAAGATTAATTAAGATAAGATGAATAAGATCAAATTAGACCAAATTAGATCAAATTAGATCAAATTAGACCAAATAAGACCAAATAAGACCAAATAAGATCGAATAAGGTGAATCAAAGACAAAAACTTTAAGAAGGCTTATGTACATATGTTTGGCTTCTTACCTTCCGGTCATAATCAACATCATTGCTGTTATTATCTACAGAAACTGATTGATCATTTCCGTATACGGAGGCGTTTGTTGCAGATCGTTGCTACAAACAAGATGAGAGTAGGATGAGAAAGATGAGTAATATGAATGAGATAAGAGATATATATGACGATGTGTATGAAATATATGATTATGTGTATGAAATATATATGATAATATATACGGTGATTTATATGATTTATACGATGATATATATTATGATATATATGATGATATTTATGATGATATTTTTAGGATGATATTTATGATGATATATATGATGATATATATGATAGTATGAGCGATAATACATTCATTATCTCATAAATAAGTAATACACATATAATACACATGTAATACACATGTTATAATAAAATGTTATATGCTAACCGTGGAAGTTGGATCTTGAGCTGATGGCGCATCAGGAGCATTCAAACAAGCTTGAATCAAATTCTTTCCTTCTGGTTTGGTAACAAGCGGTTGAAGTTTTGGGGTTGTAAAAGTGTATACAAGACCGGTTTCTGATACCACCAAAAGTAGAACTTGGGTGCCTGTCAAAGTACTAAGTTCGTACGCCTGCATATAAATTTAAATTAGTGTTAGATTTTAGGATGATGTTCATTGTTTACACTCCACTTTTGGATAGAACTGGCTTCGTTGACAAATATGGCAAAGGTTGACACATGCAACTTTAAATGATAAATTTCTATTTATGCAAACGAAGTTTTCAATGAAAAACATGTTAATTTTTAACGAACCTTTTTCATTATTCCTGCTTTTCGTTTACTAAAGGTAATATGACGTCTGCTTTTATCATCGATATATTCAATTTTTATTTTACGTCGACCAGCTCTTTTTTCACTTTT